GTGTTATTCAATGTTTATATGAAAGTAGCTGTTTCAAACAGGCTTTTTCTTAAAGGTTGTGTCTGAAAGTTACTTCTTTGCATGACCTACACATCTTTGTAAATAGTAACTTTGTTGAAATGTATTGCTTCTTTCTTTTCTTTAGAAGATTCCCATATTTTTTTATGTATCAAGATGGAGAAATAGAAAGCCAAAATCTTAATTTTTTTCAAAAAATATACCCCCTTTAGTTTAGTCTAACTTATGAACTGATTGAGATACGGTAAAATATTCAAGACTTCTTTATTCTCTATTGATTAAAGAACAAATTTAACCTAAAATTCAAACTTTTAGCTAATTATTTATTCCACTTTTAACGTTTGTTTATAAACAAAATTTCAGGATTTGTTTTTCAATTTTGATGTTCAAATATCTCATGAACTATAATAAATATGACTATATCACTCATATAAAATTTATCCTATATATATTCATTAATCATTTCACCGGAGCGGGGCTACGTGCAAACCGGCCATCGGATGGGCACGTAGCCCCGCTGGATACGGGAATAACAGAACCACTTGTGTTTCTGTTATTCCCTGAATGGCATTCCAATAATGGCTCAATCCTAAGTTGCGTATATCCGTCCGAGAGGATGAATGACACTGAGCCTATCAGCTGTCTCTACGGAACCTTCGAGATACTAAGAGCCTTCTCATCGTAGCATCGCCTTTTCACGATAAAGCCGGGCTCTACCGTGATTGACCTTCTTTTCCTAGCTACTCGTGGGACTTTCATAGACAGAGTAAACTTAAAAATTATTTCTGACGCCGAGTCTACAGATGAGAGGGATGTCGAGCTTACGATTCCACCTGACCTCCCTGTAAATTTAGATCAGGAGCGAGTCTACAGAGAGCTTCCCAACCCTCCAACTCCTGATCCAATAACTGAAACTAAAAAAAAGGTTTGGTGGTGCAGACAAGAAACGACTGAGTCGTCTCCTCAAGAACGTGGTACCTTATGAAACCGCCTTGCACCAAATTCTTGAACGGTGAACGCAGAATCTGTCTCAGGTGGAGGAACAAACCCCCCATGAGCAGGTTAGCAAACGTTTGTGCTCAAGTGATGATTCACCAAAACCAGAGGCGAAAAAGCCCTGCACGGTTGAATCTAAGGCATCGTCAGGTACAGCTGATGTGCAAAAACCCTCATATGGGAAGGTTGTCGCGGATATCAAGGTGGGAATCTTGTACCTTGACTCTCCGACTACTTCATTAACGATGAAACAACAGAGCATATACTTTGTGCCTGCCCCGCAGGGGACCGAATCAGGTTTTTAGAGTTCGGCAGAGCCGTACTCTTACCATCTAAACTGAAAGACCACTCACCATACAAACTAATCGGCTTCGTTGAAAAGCTGGGTTTGGTCGAGCGTGAATAGGTGTGAGCCACAATAAACCCTTATGGGTTTGTACCTAACCTAACCTAACCTAATCCGTTGCCAAAATTGTTCAGAATAGATTAAATATTTAAGCGAATAGCATGATGCTATAAATGACCACCAATTCTCGTTGTAATACTTCCAAAGCGATTGTATCCAACATAAAAAACTTCGCTATTACCCTTCTAGGGCATTATCCGCCATTTTGTACCATAAATCACAAGGGAAGCGATAAAAACGTGAAAAATAGTTTCTGTTTATATTCATTGTGTACCTAAAACACACGCGATCCAACAAAGTATGTCTTAGTAATGAGTATCCGTGATCGCTAAATACATAATTCCAACTTTATTGATGCAGGAAGACAAAATAAGTGCACTGCATTCTACAGTCCGCTTGTCTGGCAAAAAAATTAGGTACAGGAAATCCGCCCCGGACATGCAACTCAATACTTTCGTTTCTTGGGGTCGGTGTTATCAGGAAACAAAATAAAAAGGGTGAAGTAACACACAAATTGCGGACTGATTTCAAACAGAACAATGAAACAAAGAGTTCTATGATTTTCAATCACTCAATTCTTCAACGGTTGCTGTTGAAAATTTCATGTATAGAAGGCGATTTTGTGAATTGGAAAAACTGAATATTTTTCAAATAAAAAATTTTTGAATATTTATAAAGTTAAATAATGTGGATGCAATTAATGAATATTCTTTAAAATCGAAATGAAAGTCAAAATTTTGAGTTTTGAAATCGTTATATCCAAGAAACAAATAATAAAAATGTGGTCGTTCTGCTCTTCCGTAGAATAAAATAGTAAAATACCTATATATCTCACAGCATTTTTTATAAGTAATAAGCCTTCTTTCTTGTATTTTGACTTGAACAATCAGCCTGTACATTATGTAGTTTCATGATAAATAACTTCTCGTTGGAAATCGGAAACCAAAAAATGTAATTCTCCCTCTCCACTCTACTTTAAACTAATCTAATCTTGTTTGTCGTCGGGCACTCTAGGTTTTATTGAGGCATTATAAATAATACTTTGATGGATATAGTTGACTTTGCTTCTAATAAGACATAACAAAAATTCATGCACGTTCTAAACTGTTTTACACTCCTCAAAACAAGGATCAGTACTCTGTAATGATCGTGTTGAAATTCAAACAATCAGCGTGTTTGCGAGCCTACATCGAGTGGAATACCCGCCTTAGGACCGCAGCACTAGTTCTTTCAAGAAAGGCTTGCGAAAACTAATGATTAACACCATTTTTGGCAAAACGATAGAGAACATCCGGAACCACCAAGTCGTCAAATTGGTGCGAAAATATGAAGGCCATTATGGTATGAAAAATTTGGTTGCATCTCCCCGATTTCATCAACGAACAGTTTTCGATAAGAACCTTGTAACCATCGAGATTATCTAATTATTATAGAAGGTAAACTGATAAAGTCATCAGTAGTCAACTCTTGAACAGTATAAAAGCAGTTCGAAAGCCAAAACAGCAGATCTACTGCAAAAAGTGTGAAACTAGGACTAACACGTCACTGTTGTCTTCATTTGCAGTGAATTGATTCACAATATTCTGCAGTATTGCGATAGGGCTTAGTTGAGAAAGATTCGATCATCTCGCTTGCGGTATTATGAATTACACTTTGATAGATATAGTTGACTTTACTTTCATTGATACATAAGAAAAATTCATGAGCGTTCTATACTGTTTTTCACTCCTCAATTCAAGGATTACTACCTTGTAATGATAGTGTACAAGAATTAGTTTTTTGATAAATATAATAATGTGACCTTTGGAATTCACCTCTTTTGGTGATGATGATGAGGCCAGACGATACAGAAGAAGGAATGAACATTTTATTCCCTGCTTCAGTGGTTTTATTTGGAGGTCGATTAATAATGGTGTGGGGTGGAATGATCAATGATCGTAACGGATCCCTGATCGCCCAATGAGATGTTGGATGTCCAGATACGTTACAGAGTAGAAGCAGGAGGGCACACTTTCATTTCAATGCACGATGGGGCTCGGCCCCACGCTGCAGGGATCGTGCGTCAGTACCTACAAGCCCACAATAACATCACTTTGGTGTGGCCCACTTAGAGCCCGGACCTGAATTCTATCAAAATATCTGGGATCAATTGTTTATTACCTACTAGGTGTTTAGGGTGTAAGGACGGACTGAAAGGTTTATCCATTTCAATGTCTGAATGAAGTGGTCAATTTCTCAATAACAAGACATAGTTAATATGCTTCTCATTTTCTTTGTATACATGATAAATAAATAGAGTGATTGAGGAATGTCATCATCATTATATAATATTATAATATTTTCAAAAAGCAACTTCTTATTCAAATGAGGCTTTGGAAGCTCAGGGTCAAACGATTCATTGACAACCGAATTCAAATCTAGATGAATACGACAAACACATAATGGAGGACACATGAAAATCAATACAAGGGACAAACAAGTAGGATGGAATCGATTTCATGAAATGAAATGGGAGAGAAGGTAATAAACTAAAGAACTTAAGAGTTTTTAGGAGACTTGAATAGATAACAAGCCAGACGACTCTCTCGAAGAAAAACATTTCTTTCGAAAACAGACCATTCAACTACTTAGTTGAATGAAGACCTGGCCTGAGGCCAGGTCTTCATTATACAGCTCTATTTTGTTCTTGTGTCATCTAAATGAATGGTGCTTAGTGTAATCTGTTTTAGAAAATATTCTGGATCGATCCCTACTTTGTTGAAGCGGTTCCTCAAGTTTTTTGAATTATCAAGGTTTTCCCAGTATATGGAGTTGATAATTGTTTATAGTTTTCAAAACCTGTTTGCATTTTCAGACCAATCCCAATTTTAGTATTGAATACAGCCTATAAATAGATGTTGCAAAAACAAAGACAAAACATTTCTCGATATATTTTAATATTTTTGGTCAGTAAATCTTAATATCAATCAGTTGATGTATTTTTTTCTAGGTATGTTCGAAATTCAAGTTTTTAATATGGATTTAAAGAGCGACAAAGAGTTAATTTTTTTGAAATTGAAAGGAATAACACTATATAACTTGGGAGCCAGGTATGAATAGCTTCTTTGGCCAATCTTCTTCAACGTTTTTAGAATGTCAATAGAATTCAATCTAGATCTAGTGTTATATTTATGATTAGCACTTAGAGCTTGTTTATACAGATTATCGCATATAGATATAAGGTTTGTTCAACATGATTTTTATTATCCATTTCTGTACCTTTGCTGAGTTTTTGAGGTGATTACTAGTGACTCCTCCCTAAGCGATTATGCCATAATACAAATGTGTTTAGACCAGGTCATGATCATTATTTTCCGATGTTTGAGGTCAAACATCAATGAATAGTTTCAGAGTCATAAATCCGTTCGGTACGGTTTGCTCATAAATAATTATTTGATATGCTTGTGAAAAAAGGTACTTCAACCGTGTTTGTGTCAAAGACATAATTTACTTCAATCTTTACCTATTCCCTAAGATATAATCCAATAATTCTGAAATCGAAATGGAACAAAATCAAAGTAACTGTTTTTTTTTAACTCACCGACAACTGTGGGTTCCAAATCGATGAAAACAGCACGAGGAACGTGCTTTCCCGCTCCAGTTTCGCTGAAAAAGGTGTTGAAGGAATCATCACCCCCTCCCACGGTTTTGTCGGATGGCATCTGTCCATCTGGCTGGATTCCGTGCTCCAGGCAGTACAGCTCCCAGCAGGCGTTTCCAATCTGAACGCCGGCTTGGCCGATGTGGACGGAAATGCATTCCCTCTGGAAGAAAAAGGAAACAAGTGATTAATAAATATCCTTGAAAGATTGCTGATTTAGGGACAAGTAGTTTTTTAATAATATTCATATAAGCAGTAAAATGATGGCGATACTGTTGAAGTTTCAATGGAAATAGGTATCAAAGTATCTTTGGGACAGTTACGAGCCCTACGAAGAAGAGGAAGAAACATGAGAAAATTCTCGATCTCGCAATAATTTTTGAAAAGTTTTTCGAACTATTTGGGTGCAGGAGTTTCCGCTAGTTGAAATTAGGATGTGAATGTTGGAAATGTAAAACGGAACATCCCCAAAGTGGACATACCAATGATGGGCATATGCCAACTCATCACTGAATAATTCCACCTAAATTGTATGCAGCTAGTGATAAACCAACTGATCACCATAACCTCAAGAATAACCAGTGAACTCCTCTCCAGAAATAGGTCAACTCATAACCAGGCCCAATCGGAATGACACTCTTTTTGGAAGTATGATTTCAACTGAACTGATTTCAACTAATTTATGGAAATGAAGAAAAAATTACAATTCGTACTCGTCTTTCAGAAAACTGATGAGGATTGGGGGAAATTTACCTGTACCCAGCAAATATATAACTATTTTTGTCAAAATAATTTTTATTGTATGTTTTCTAGATACAATATTATGTGAAATTCACGAATAAAAGTTTGGAATAGTCCCTCTGATATGATGAGAATCACTTGCAGGGGAAAAGAGTTTTCTGATAGAGATGAAACAGATTTGTTTTCTGTTCTAATTTCAATAGCTGTCTCGAGATATAATTGTAATTCTGAAGTTGAATTCAATGACACTATTCATGAGATTAAGTAAATGTAGTTTAGAAATCAAGTATTCACAGTGGACTTTCCAGTTCCAACTGCCTTTTATGTTGAGACTAAAAAATACAACGTGCGAATTGATAGGTTAACATTTAATATCATAAAAAAAGAGTTGTTAGAAAACCATGAAGAAATATCAGTGAGGGCTTTACTAAAATTCTATTCGTACCGGACTCAGAATAGAATCTTGTGGCACACCCATAGAAATACCACGTAATGAAGACTTCACGTTTCGTCAAAAGTTGTTTTTATCGTTCATGATGAGGAAAACATACTGTTTTCCATTGAAGAGAAATGATTCTGTCTAACTGAAGGTAACATATATTTTTAATCCATTAGTTATCTTTGATACTTTATACAACTTTCAGAAGACAAAAAAAATTGAAGCAGCAATCTTGAGTTCACTGTATAACAGAATGCTATCATAAAATGTTCGGCCACCCAGATAAAATTTCGACAAAATAAAACGAGGAAGTAACTATGTCTGTTATTTGAATGTCGTTTGTTAAAGAATAACAAAGCGTCAAGACGTATAATACTTACAAGAACAGAACTCTTGAATAAATAAATAAAGAAAGGGAATATCACCTCCCGCCTTCCGGAAGACATCAGAATACGATTTCTGCCAGAGATGACACATTCAGACGAGATGAATAACTATGTAGTAATAATGCATAATGTAATTTAGTTGACAGAGTTTTTTGCCTGGAATATAATTTCATGGAATAATTCTTTGAATATTCAGGATAATAATCAAACTGGAAATCTGTATTTTTCAAACCATAAAAATAAATATTCCTTTTAGAGTTCAACAATGATTTAAGTTCATCATTTCTGTCGTGAAAATGATGAAAGTGTTAATTGAAAATGATCATTTGGAATAATAGTTTGTTTTATTCGGTTCTTCCGAGATAATGTTGAGCCATTCGTAATATGTAAATCGATTAATAACAAAATTTTCGATTTTTTACAGAATAGTAGAGATCAAAACAACATACGTACTAATAACGCATTCATCTCTCTCATTCTATTGCGATTTTTTAAAATAATATGAATAAATTCGTCTATTTTGTTTCGTTGTTGAAATGAAAGAGATAACTATTATGAAAACGCGATATTCATGAAAAAATAGGCTACGAGTATTCTGGTTGAAGCAATTTTCATGTAGGACTTTATTTAAAACAGAACTTTCCACTATGTAGGAAAACTGATAGAGATAAACATTTCTCATTTTCAAATTATTCATTTCTATCAAATATTATTCATTCGGTATCATCTCGTTAACGGAACACAACAGAAATGCTCTCTGTCACTATTCTTATTCGCCAATTTCATTTCATGATGGTGACCAATATAAATATTTATCAGCGTGAACTCAGTTGACACAACATAAAGTACTGCTTTTAACTTTATCTTCATACATTATTTGTCTCTTGCTGTGATCGATACATGAATGTATTATACAAATTAATGGTACAATCATTATTCTCAAATGCAACAGCAATGACCGGTCGATGATGAATTACGGCAAAATATCGAGGATGTGCAATTTGATGAGATTCATATAAATAGAGTGAACATTTTTTCCCAGAAAAATATAAGTTGAAATGAATTTAACTAACACAGGTTTGAAAAGTAACAATAAAAACAAATATTATTTATATCGATGTTTGGTTGCATTGCTCGAAAACGGTTTAGAAACTTTTGGGATTCATCGCCTACCTGCTCTCATCTAGAAATTTAGAAAGCAGATGCCAAGATAAAGCAGATGGATAGAATTTCTCTTTCAGACGGGAATACGTTCAGATGAAATAAAAAGCTGCAGTAATAATCGAAAGAGGATAAGTTAAGGGAAATATTATTATTAGACCAGAAAAGGGTCTAGAGAAGTTAGTGTCAAATCTGATTGGAGCTCTTAAAAGGAAAGCACTGTATGAATCATATACCGATTCATGAAAATGGGATCCAGGGGAATGTAGTAATTACAGATAGGTAGCCCTCATTAGTTAATAGCAAAATTGTAGGGTTTCTGGTGAAAGTGCTGGAAAATATCTTGGAAGGAATTCAATTTGGCTCCAGATCAAACAAAGGTGTTGATGATATTTTCTTGAGATAAATAAGAAACAAATTTCAGGGTTTCACTTTTCGATATACTACAGCATATATATATATATATATATATATATCGGCTACAAAGGCACATCTTTACCGATAGCAGGAGGTTGCATATCTTAATGAGGATCTAAAAGTGATTTGGAATTGGGGTGAAAGTAACCAGGTTCCCTTCAGTGTCACAAAAACCCCGGCATCGATTTTCTCCAGGAAGAAAAATGTCACCAAACCAGATATAATAATGCCAGGACAGACAATTCCGTTTTCTGCTTCGATAAGTTTGTTGGGGGTTAAAATGGACACCAATATGTCTTGGCACAATGATGTCGCTGGAATTGCAAAAGCTGCTTCTGAAAAGCAGAAAACTGTACACACCTCAGCAACTTTTGATGCTTTATAAAGCTTAGATCAGACCGTCTTTGGAGTATTATTCTCATGTATAGAGCTCTGCCACCAAACAAACCCTGAAGTGGCTGAAAAGAGCCATCTCCCTGATTGGAGACGCAAACATCACGAGTTACCTTGATAGCCTGGAACATTAAAGGAAGGTTGGAGATTTGTCTCTCTTCTATAGACACTTTCACGGGAGGTGTTCAAGTGACTTGTCATATTTGATTCCACCAAGAGCGGTACATATCAGAAATACGCGCTGGGCTGTGGCTGCTTATCGTTTTGAGGTTCAACTCAGTAAACTAGAGAATCTTGCTAGGTGACTATCCGACTTCCTCATTAACAGAGCATATACTTTGGACCTAACCTAAACTAACCAGTAAACCTTGAACTTCACTGTTTAAGAGCACGTTTTTCCAAATGGATTCAATGTTCAACGATTCAAATCCAATGTGAATCGCTACTTTCGCATAAGCACTGCTCTGAGAACGCCTTAAGGATTTTCCTGTAGTGCTTGCGTTTTGTCCTTGAAAAAGTAATGGCGATGAATGATAAAGAAAGTGAAAAAACACGAGGTGGTATAGGTACTAAAAAAGGAAAATTTAGAATCATGCTCTGTAGATAATAATGTCTGAAGCACGAGGTAACTTTGATCGGAAAACTGAAAATATACAACTCAAAGAGGATCAATAGGGGGACAGAAAAAAACGGCAATATATTAAGTTAACACAAAATGTCAACAAATAACGAAGAATTATAATAAATGCAATTATAATAAATGCAAACCGTGTTAGGAATCGCACAAAAAAAGGTAAGACCTCGTTAGTCCTTAGCTCGCACAAGCTTCGACTTCTAAGGTTGTCGTTCGTAGGAGTGCGACAGCTGGTTAACGGAAAAAACATATTTTAAACATATTCAATGTCAAGTCTGCAGAATATCATAAGACAGAGAGATAGAAGAAAAAATAACCGGAAAGGAGTACATTTTTTTTAATTGAATTAATTAAAGGGGAATGTAAAATAAAACAAAAATGGATAGAGTCAGAAATAAAGTCTATACTATGTTTCCTTTTGATAAAAAGTAATAAATGCTTATTATAACAGAGTGAGTCAATAACATGTTCTGATTTCGTTATGGTTGTCCGTATCTGTGAATGAGGGTTTATAATACTTTACCGGGTGCATCCTTTTTCAGTATCACAAACGGGTCGCAATCAAGAGATTTTATAGGCATTCGAGTTGTTTTGTAACTTGCATTGTAATAGGGGAGCCCAAGCGGGGCTTTCGGGATTTACTAAAGCGCGGCAGATTAATATACAGGAGGATACCTTGTACCCGGTGGTTAAGTACCTCCACCAAATATGAGCCCCATATATAAGGCCACCTTTGAGGAATAAAGCATCAGATTAGTAAAAAAAATTGATCATCAGAAATTCTCGAGCGCGTCAGATTAAGGTAGGATGAGTTAATTACCTGCTAAACAGTGTATATTCCAGTAAACTGACAATTTGAGAGTGACATAAAAAAAGAGGGGGCAGCAAAGTTGTAAAAAAATAACATCATTTCGACATTCTCGAGCGTAGCTAATTTTTTTTTTATTTTGAAGGAAATAATTCCAGGATAACGAAAAATATATAATCTGACG